TATTAGGAAGGGAGTGGGGATGTTTGAATTCGCCAGACTGTCCAGTTTTCATTTGTTTATCGTCATTTGTGCTACATTGGTTATTGTCTTTCGCAGCTTCTCACGTGATTCCTCGCATTTTTATTCCGATGTGACAGATTAGTTTAGGTTACAGGGTTGCCACAAATTTGCAATCATAAAATCCCCTGACTTACTGACGGAATTTTGAGATTTTTCTCTGACCCAGAATAATTTATACTTATTTGCAATGTTCCTCGGTCTTTCCAATAATTGTACATAAATACAGGTTTTTATGTTGTGGAATCGACTTCCAAAAAAAAAAACAAAAGTTGTCAAGAAAGATGACGGCAAAGCGTAAAGCCAGACGATGTACAGCTAAAAGTGTTAGATTTTTCCTGACAAGTGTGCTAAATCCCTGACTTTTCCTGATTTTTCTGATGCATTTTCCAAATTCCCTGACATTTTCCTGATTTTCCTGATTTCCCTGACTTGTGGCAACCCTGGGTTACGGAATCTTCAGTTATATATGATCTGTTTATCATCATTAATTATGAGCGGCGATAAAGATTATATATTCAGAAGGGGAAGAACTTAGCGGCAGCGACGAACATCTTCCTGTAAAAAGGTGCAAGACAGCAAAAGAATATTACGAATTTTCTACAAATACCAAAGAGAAATTTAACATTTGTAAATTATGCAAATCCAGAAAAAAGAAAATCAAAATGACTGGAGGAAATACAACCGACCTGAATCGACATTTAAAAAATGTACATTTTTATTTTAATGTCCAACCGTCGATTATTTTTTAATCTGATTTCCCAAAAAACTATTATATGTGCAGGTACTATAACCACTTACGCACTGTTTATCTATTTATATATAATAGATTATTAATATTTTCTTATGTAAATATTTACATATTGACACATGTGAGAAGTATGGTCAGAAAACAAAAACACGAGACGAGACGAGATTCTCAGGCTGAGACCGAGCCTCTCGAGACCTTTGTCTCGATCTCGATTTTGGCATTATAATTTGATCTCGGTCTCGGTCTCGTCTTGTATGATCTCGTCTCGTCTCACGAGAGTCTCGATTTTCAAGAGTCTCGGTGAAACACTAAACAAATCAATTAAAGTAAGCTCTCGAAAATTTCAACCTTATTTTTTCGTAGATTTTCATTTATTATTACTTTAACATTACATCTTTAGAATTTAATATGTCTTTCAACATATTATTAAGATACAATAAGATGCTATAAACATCAAAAATTGTGATATTACTACGGTAGTTGATTAGAATTGCGTTTAAGTCCGAAGGATTTTTGGTGCGTCATTGGCGGGAACTACTTACGTAGTATATAAAATTCACACTATACATATCTTATATATAATCGCACTAATAACAGCGAATAGCTCTCATTAGCCTTTATATTCTCGTTATTTATTATTTTTATATCTCTCAATGAAATAATAAAATATTTTGTCGAAATCTCGGCGAGATCTCGACGAGATTTTTAAATAATCTCGATCTCGTTATGCTAGATCTCGGTATCGATCTCGAATATTACAAGTAATCTCGATTTCGAATCTCGTTTCGAAATCGAGACGAGATTGAGATTTTTCTCGTCTCGTCCGCATCTCTAATCATTATCTTATTATTTGAATAGTAGATTCAAGCATTTCGTTTTTTCCGTGTGGCTCTGCATTTTTTGTTCAACCATTTTTTCAGCACATTTGTATCTTTCAAAATAAATGCAGAAAAATTTAAAAAAATCAAGTTTTTAGGATGTTTTTTCAAAATAGCGGCGACGATACGGCCGAGCGCCAATTGTCATATTCATAATCAGGAGGCAAAAATACATCGAAAACATGTTCGCGTTTTTTGGATTTCGAACATACAGTCTGTACAAGATTTATGGAAAAAAAATTTTTCAAACCGACAGATTAATGAAATCCCTCCACATAATCGTCAGATTATGGGTCAGCACGTCCAGGACATCGAACTGTATCTTAATCTGACGTGCTCGAGTATTTCAAGGTCACGATTTTTTTTTGCATTTTCAAAAATCGGCCATGTCTCTCAGTCGCGTCCAAACCGTCAGTTTTTTAAATAGGAGCTTCTTTAGGGTCCAATTAACATCCCCTATGAAAATCTAACGCGCTCGAGGAAATTTTTTTTTCCCCTTTTTTTGACCCCTTCCTACAGCTAACCCCACCACATAAACCGTCAGATTAATATTTATCCGTTATCAGAAACACATGGGTCGCTTACACTATTAATATCTGACACGCTCGAGTATTTCATTGTCACTGTTTTTTTTTACATTTTTGAAAGCCTGTACACGCTCCCCCCACCACTGAAACGGCATACATCATAACCTTTTTTTCTTTTTAGCATCTAATCTTCACAATCCAATAGGTCCCCACGACGCTCGAGTAAATCCACATTTAGCCTCTCGGCCTCCCCTACTATAACAACAAAAATGTTCCTATGGACGAATTGTCCTTCTCAACAACCTTCATATGATCTTGCAGACTCCACCCAAGGTAAAATTCTTATTATCAATTAGGTAGATTTTTTGAAATCCTATAACTTTGTTTTTACAAATTTTTTGCTTGAGTTGATTGTTTTCAAAACATTTTAGCGTTTTCAAACTTTTTGTAGACCTTGTACAGTAGAACTTCTTTACAGTCCAACCTCCTTACAGTCACAACCTCACAAAAATAGTCCACAGTCGACTTCCGTATAAGTACATGTTTGTAACCCACGTGACGCGTCTCCATGACAATTCCTTGCGCAGTAAATAATGCGCAGTTATCTACTTAGACGCACTCAGGTTCGTAATTTTAATGCTCAATTGTAACCTTTGGGGATAATCTACTACTTATATATTAATTATTTTGTATAATTGTTAGTTGCTTAATTATTTTTAAGTGTAAACTTGATTTAAAAGAGAAAGTGTATAATAATAAGTAATAAGTAACAGATAATTGAGGAGATTGCTTCCGGATCAAAAATTAAAGATGTGATAAAAAAATATGGTATCTTCTCAAATTGTGTCAAAAGCTTTCTTACTAATGTAAGAAATGTTTTGTTAGTCACATCTCAACAAAATAGTTATCAAAACATTTCTCTCAGTGAGTGCTACATATCAGCTTAAGAAGGCTACTTACCTACTTTGGAGCGAAGCTAAAATAATCTCTTTATTGTCACATTTGGTCCCGAGGGTGTGACTATAAAGAGGTTAGTGTGTGCGTGCGTGCGTATATTTTTAGAGCTTCCTGGTAGTATATTCTTATAGTATTTTATAATCCAATATGTGTTAGATGTAAACGTACCATTAATTTTGAAATCTATCATCTTTTGTTAGAGAAACAAAATAAGTTTCTTTATAGAACGTTTAAACAATCTATATATATTTTATTATTTTTGGAAGGTTTCCCAAGCTTTTCTGGATAAATAAGTATTTTTCCATGAATTTACGGACTTTCTAAATGACAACTGCCTGGGTTTTAAAGATATTCATTCAAGCTAATATTGGTCATTTCTACATTCCCTCCTCTGCGTTCTTCAATAAAATATTATTGAAAGATTTTAATATAAGGATATATCGAATATAAGGATATATCTAATATAATTAATAATCAGGAGATGCGGTAGTGTCTTCGGCCATGTTCAAAAACTAAAAGACACTACAAGTCTCTTATCCCGAACCACCAAAGTCCATTTTTCGGGGATACGTAACTATTAAAATATAAAAAATTTTGGATCGCACGTAATATGATATATTCCGAAAGGCGGTATCGCCACGAGTAATTTAAACTTTAAAAAAATTTCGGTAAAGTCGTTCTGTACATACAAGCGGTCGAAAAGAAATGATTTTCATGAAAAATGAAGTAACGTATCCTTCCGTTTGTTTTTCTTCTTCTTCTTCTCTGTCCGCAGTCATGTGAACCTCTGTCCTCTTTCACTTTTCACTCACACCTCCACCAACTTTGACCCACCCCCTTCCCCCACCGCCCACCACCCATCCTCACCATTAAGTAAGTGATATCCGAAAAAAATCATACCATAAAAATGAAAAGTTCAAGCCATGTTCAAAAAAAGATACTCAAAAATTTAAACCTTTTTATCTAATAATAATATATTATATTATCATGAAAAGTAACTGATATATTATTAATTAAAGGTGTCAGTTCAAAGTGAACATACATAAAATATATGCAACTTTCGGCCGATTTTAGAATCACCTCCACCCCCCCTCACCTCACCGCTCCACGCGCAGTTCAAATACCGCTCGACCGTCGTGTGTATTTACAATAAAAAATTTGGAAATATTTTATATTTTGTATGAAAAAAGTATTTTGTATTTGAAATACAAATTTTAGAAATATTATGTATTTAAAATATAAATTAAGTAATAATTAGAGGCTCAGAAGAATAAATAAAAATTTAATTAAAAAATACCAATATGATCCGACACTGGATGATAATGTGTATTAAATATTTCTTTATTGTAATTGGATAAATTTTATCCAATTACAATAAAGAAATATTTAATACACATTATCATCCAGTATCGGCTCATATTGGCATCTGTTAATTAAAAATTAAAATATAAAATTTAGGAATATTATGTATTTTGTAATTTAAAATAATATTTTGTATTTAAAATACAAATTTTAAAAGTATTTTTTAAATTGAAAAATTGAAAGCATTTCATATTTTGTATTTCAAATACTAAGATTGCCAATATTTTGTATTTTGCATTTCAAATACTGTAATGATGTATTTTGCCTAGCCCTGGTGGTGGGTTAAAGTTGGTGGAGGTATGAGTGAAAGGTGAGAGAGGACAGAGGTGCATATGACTGGACAGAGAAGAAGAAAAAGAAGAAACGGAAGAAGACGTTACTTTATTTTTCATGAAAATCATCACTTTTTGACCGCTTGTATGATAGAACGACTTGACCGATTTTATTAATTATATGCGCTACACTTACATCCGTCGGTTCTTCTTTGTTATCTCGTACTGTTTCTGATGGCTTTGTTACAAATGCTATGCTTCGATCATCGTCAACATCTTTATCTTCATCTTCTTCGACATCTTTATCATTATCTTCATCGTCGTCGTCGTCGTCGTCGTCGTCGTCGTCGTCGTCGTCGTCGTCGTCGTCGTCGTCGTCGTCGTCGTCGTCGTCGTCGTCGTCGTCGTCGTCGTCGTCGTCGTCGTCGTCGTCGTCGTCGTCGTCGAAATGCGTGTTACACGTGTCCATCTCATCATAATCTATGGGTTCTTCTTTGATTTGTGTAAGTATCATCGTTTCCTCGCTGGAATTGGTTTGTGTTGAACATGATAATGGATTCTCCGATGTTGAAGGTATTTTAGAAGAAGTCTGTGACATTTACACACAATAAATAAAAATATTATTCATCTTCAAAACGATCGTAATATGTAAATCGTACAAAACATTTGTTTTGTATGACCTTTTAAAGATCAAAAATATATCAAAATGTATTTCAATAATTTTTTCAGGGTTTTCCGAAATCTTGAAAACAAATTCTCTGAGATTATTCTTAAATTTTCCAGGAATTTTTATAAAAAATTTCAAGTAAAGTTAACTTCCAAAATAAATCGGAATGCAAGTAACGCAAACAAACTGTAAATTGAAGATTAGAAGACAGAAGTTTCATGAGATTATCCATCCTTTTCTACAATTTGAGTTGTGAAATTTATAGGATAAGAGAAAATTTATTGTAATCAAGAAACACGGAAGTGTCTCTCGCCAAGTGAACGCGCAGCGCGAGACGCACTCTTTTACACAAGTTGGCGAGTTGCGAATAATCGAGAATATTGGATCTCTATGAAGGAGATATCACGATGCAAAATTTAAAATATAATATAAAATTAACACAATCTGTTGCATATGGTTTGACAAGTTGACAAATTTGACATTTGACAGCATATTTCACGTTGTCACTCGTATGACGCTAGAGTCTTGTGAAGCCATTCGAACGGATCGGACGTGTTTCGTCCTGATTCGGGTATTACATCATTTCGATTAATATTTTTGAAAAGTGTTGCCGACTTCAACCGTGCTTGTTTTCAATTTATCGGAAGTCCTTCACTCGTCTGGGCGCTCGGAGGTACGGAGAACGTTCACTGAGACTGCAGGCGTCCACTGTTTGGAGGACGCATCATTTTCGTTTTTATTGTATCATCTATTGTATCCACCTAGTTTCGAGATGGCCAATGCCTTGCACACGCAACCTCCCAATTTACACAGACCTCAGTGACCTGTCAGGCTGCGAGGCTAATAAATTTGAAAAGAAGATCGTATGGCGTTGATGTTAGCGGCCATTTCTAGCGGTCACATGCGAGACGCCAAGAGAAAATAGTAGTGCAGAGTCCCCGATTATAAAAGATATAATTTATGACGTATTTCTGTTAAAAATTCATTGAAAATAATAACTCACAATACACGGTGATAAACAATATAAGATTAAGTTAAAAATATTAAAAATAATAAAAATAGATTATAAAATATATGTATAAATAATATAAAAAATATTACAAGAAAGAAATACAGCTTATAACGGTCAAAGCTGGATCAAAGTGCTTATTACAATTATGCGTGATTTTTATATACTACATATGTAGTCCCTCCATAATTGCGCACTGATAACTTTCAGACATAACGCATAAATACTACAGTAGTAATATCACAAATTTTACTTGATTAATTACATATTAAATATAAAGATAATAATTAAAATTTCGTAAATAATTAGATCTTTAATTTATTCTTTATATATTGCGAAAAATATCACATAGTTTTTGGCGTTTCTTCCCGGCTTCCACTACTGGACTCATCAGTAAGGCATTGTAATGAAAGCCTACCTTATACGCCTTGGTAAGTCATTAAATGGAGATTCTATATAAAGAAATATACGCATGTAGTATTTATGCGTTATGTCTGAAAGTTATCAGCGCGCAATTATGCTGGGACTACATATGTAGTATAAAAATCACGCATAATTATAATAAGCACTTTGATCCAGCTTTGACCGTTATAGGCTGTATTTCTTTCTTTATTTGTTTGACAATATACGGGGTCGTACAAAATAATTTAATATTTATTAAAAAATATTAATCAATAGATCTGATTGGACCGTGAGAGTTTAAAGTAATAAGTAACGATACCGTACAGAAAAGGATTCTTGTAGAAAAGGATTGATAATTCCATGAAACTTCTGCCTTTTAATCTTCAATTTGTAGTTTGTTTGCATTACTTGCATTCGAATTTATTTCGAAGTTAATTTTACTTGAAATTTTTGATAAAAATACCTGGAAAATTTAAGAATAATCTCAGAGAATATAACGGTCAAGATGAATCTTGAATGCTTCTAATATATAATTTCGTATGAATTTATATACTACGTATGGTTGATTCTTAAAAATAAGCGTCGAAATTTTTTCAGACTTGCAATGCAAGATCTAATAAACTACCGCAGTTAATAAACTATCACGAGTTAAATTGACTAACAATCTAACAATTTCGATGCTCATAGCATCTTGAATCTTAATAATGTTGAATGACATATTAAAATCTATGAATAATTATATTAAAAATCTGTAAATAATTAATTTATATGATTGTTGTTTATATGATGTGTACAATATTTTATTATTGTGAAAAATATTACCTCGGCGGGAATCGAACCCGGATCTCTGACATTCCGTGCGAGCATCCTAAGCCTTAAGACTACCGACCCAGTAAGCAAAATAATATTCCAGCAACGTTATTGAAATGATATTTAACAACATGTAACATTTTGGAATATGTAGTTGTTAACGTTGTATATAACGTTGGGAATGGAAGTAACTCGTTACTTGTAACAAGTTACTTTTTTGGTAACTTTACTGGTAACTGCGTTACTTTCTTTTTTTGGTAACTGTAACGGTAACGAGTTACATTTTTTGGGTAACGGTAACGAAATTTACAGTTACTTTTGTCGTTACTTTGCACACGATTGAACACGCTTCGATTGGATACATGCTATTTA